GATCTGTTTCTGCAGGTGGGTGGGAGCAGTGGGCAGGTGCCTCCCACCCACAGGAGGGGGCTCCAATCAGACTCTGTGCGCCAAGGGGCTTTTCCTTATCCTGGGACACGTGACTGTTCATTTGTCCCCGGGCTGCCAAGCCCTCTCTCTGGACCTCGGGACTCTCTGATCCTGTTCTCAGCCAACAGCCTTCTTCAAATTAAACCAGCTTTTACCCCGGCCCTATCTTTGAGATCATAAGACACAAAAGTCTATCTTGCCATTTTTGCAAAGAACAGCAAAACAATCACGTGTCCGCTCCCGCCCCCGCCTCCCTCCTGCCTGCCCCCTGCTCTGTGGGTCTATTTGAGGCGAAATTTATCTCTGGGAAGGGCCCCATCAATTTGCCTTGCTCTTTTGTTGACAAGTTTATTAAAAACCCGGGCAACTCTGTATTAAACTTTTATCAGTGTTGAGAAATAATATATTTCTTTTTTTGAATAGATAGAAAAGTTATGGATTTGGGCTGAGCGGGTCTTGTTCAGCATTTGGCTGAGTCAGCATTGCTGATGATAAGAAACAAGCGCGTTTTGGGGTGCAGGGTTTCCTCTTGCCTTTTAATTAGGGGCTCTCTGGGGACTGCCCTGTGAGAGCCAGTGTCCCCCACAGAACCCCGAAGGCTCCTGCAGAAACCCCAATAGGGGCTGCCCACACACACCCGGCTAACTGTAATTCTTTGCTATCTATTTTAATAATTAACCAAAATCTGGAATTAAAGTTTAATTTAGTGGTGAATCTGAGCGCTAATAGGTAATGGTTTTGCATGGAGAAATATTAGGTTATTGACATTTACATTTTAAAAGCTTCATAGTAAGAAACAAAAAAAAGCACCCAGATGGGAGTTGGCAATGCCCTCCCCTGGTGGGAGGGGACGGGCACCCTGTCCTTCCCCCCGGTGAGTGCCTGGGATTGTGGAGAAGAAGGAGAGGGATTGCTCTTGCCGTCGCCTTGGGTCCCTGAGTCTCTGTAGGGCTTTGGCGGGGGCAGGGCTGGGCTCTGCAGTCTCTGAGGGCAGCGTCTGTGCTGCGGGTGTGACCTGGGGTTGGTTGTCCTTGAGTGGAAGTCGTTTGGTGCCGCATCTTCACCAAGGACGCTGGTTGTAGTGTCCCCTGTCCTGGGGCGGGAGACACCTTCCCCTGGGGGTCCCGTGTGGTTTCTGCCCAAAGTGGCCGCTGTTCCCCGAGGTCCTGGGCGAGGGCTTGTGGGTGCAGCAGGACGGAGTGTTGCTTTCCACCGCCCTTGAGGGGCAAGTGCCCAGGGACTGCGTGCCAAGCTCAGACCAGGCCGTGGCGTGACCAAGACCCAAGTTGCACAGGGCTGGTGCTCACACACGGCCATTCACACTCCCACATGGAAGACCTGAGGTGCAGAGGGGCTACGGAAGTCCCCAAGAACCCCTCGCTAGGTGTGTAGTGCTCTGTGCCCGGGGCCCCCTCTGCCCCACCAGAGGTCAACCGGGGGACGGCTGCGGCTGCAGGGGAGGGCCCGGCGGTTCGCTTCAGCTTGCTCCTACTTCCACCTTCCAGGACGGTGGGGCTGCCTCTCTTCTAGGGTCCAACAAAGGGGCTGGGGCCCTACCAAAGGCAGGAGGGGCTTCCAGGATGAGGTGGCAGGCGTGGCTCTGGCCCTCCTGCTCCCCTGTGTCCTCAACCCTCGGGGGTCCCGGGGTGAGGCTGCTGTAGCCGTCGGTTCTCAGTGACACTTCCTACCAGGTCTTTATCTACATCACTATTTGCTCCAATTATAACTAATTGGACACGTACTGCATCTTCATGGCATCTAATTTTCTATTGATTTTAACAGGGCTGCTGGTGTTTTCAGCAGAGATTGCCCGTCGCTGCTTAAAAATGCTGAGTGTATTTCCCTGTGTGGGACAACTCCATCAGCAGATGTTTTAAAACCTGTTTAATTGTTTGGTTCATAAAATGCACTAGCGGTAGGAGCTGCAGCCCTGTTCTCTATAGCACTGGAGTCAAGAGAGAGGCAGAAGGACCCAAAGTGGGTTCTGCAGAGCATCCACGCCCTGGGCTCCATCCCCAGTCCTGCTGTCCCGGCGAACGGTAAAGTCACCAGAAACGCTTGGGCCGCCTCTCTGCCAGGCCTGGGCACCCAGCTAGGGACACAGAGGGGACCAGCCAGGAGCTGCCCCTCCCTTGGCGAGCTTGCCTTTACTCAGGGGACGCAGGGACTCCTCATTCGATGAGGAAACCACAGTGGCAGCTGGCCCCAGAGAAGGCCAGGCAGGGCTAGCCCTCCCCTACCCGGAGGCCCCTGGAGCCCTCGGGGCCCGGGGGTCTGAGGCCCCGGGAGCTAGGGGTGGTCGCTGTGGTGAGGGGCTGCGTGGGTCTTGGCAGGAAGGCAGCCCGTGCCTAGGAGGCTGGAGGCAGCACAGCTCAGTTTGGGGAAGGTCGGAAAACGTGGGGTGCGGGGGTCTGGGAGGGGTGAGCTCTGTGAAGCACCCGACCTTTGAGCCGTGGGGCCCTTGGGGAGGTTTTGGGGCTTGTGGGATGCTGGTTTCTTGGCCTTTTTAGAGAGAAAAGAAAACAATACTTACAAGGAAGTCGAGGGGCCTCGGGGGCCTCTCCCTTGTCAGCCCTCGCCCCACGCTGGTGAGACCCCAGGGCTCAGAGGGAAGGGGCTAGAGAATCTGCCAGTGAGTGGGAGCTGCTGCCCGAGGGAGCAGAGCAGAACAGGGGGGTGCCCGGGTCCGCAGGGGTCCCCGACGTCCTGCCCGAGGGATGGACCCAGCTCCAGCATGTCCCAAGAACACAAACTGTGCGCCCGTTTCCTTCACACTCGCAAGCAAATGTGCTGCTCACTCCCTTGGCAAAGAACGACTGGGAACTTCCCTAAGCCAGGCCATGTTGGGGTGAGTGCACCTGGAGGCTGGCTGCCACCTCACGGGGCAGCATGAAGAGGAGGGGCTGGGCCCTGGGGCAGGGGACGCTGCTGTGAGCCCCCGCATCCTCCTGACGGGCAGTACAGGACTGGTCTTGAGGCGCAGTGGGGTGTATGGGAGAAGACGGTGGCTGTCGGTGCTCAGGGCTGCACCTGGCGCTTGGCTGCTCGGTCGGTGTCTGCTCACAGCTCACGCCCACCACCGTGATGGCTGTAACGCCAAGCTTGACGCCTCATCCAAGGCCGTGGGGCCTCCCCGTGGCAGTTTTGCAGCCTGTCCCGGTGCTCAGCTGCCTTTGGGTGAGATGACCAGTTTGTTTGCTACGTTGATTGGCAAATGCCAGACCTCCCAGCTCCTGATGGGGAAGAATCGTGGCTGGGACTCGAGTCCCCGGCTTGATCTTGTCAAATCTTCCGCTCCATTAGGAATATTGACAGCGGTAAATGGATAAGTGCGTTCCGGCTGCGAGGTCTTCGAGCCGTCCTCACTCCAAGGCCAGGGAGGGGCGGGCCCTGGGAGCCTTGGGGTCTGCCCTGCACCCTCTGTGCCACTGGAGTAAGGAGGAGAGAGGTTTGCAGAGTGTGGCTGATGGCCCGGAAGCCTCTCTTTTTGGGATGCGAGACTGATACCGATTTACAGGGGACTTTGGGGAGGCGGCCTTGCTGCACGGCACAGATCTTTCTGGAGGGCACCATGGCAGGGACAGTCAGGGAAGGCAGCTATGGACGAGTCAGAGCAGGCCTGGCAGAGGCTGGGGTGGGGGATCGTCCAGTTCAGTTGCTCCCAGAGGGGCCTTGGAGGGTGGGCATGGTGCTGTGTGACCGTCCCTGTTGCCTGAGGGGCCTGAGCTTCTGTTCCTGCAACGTCAGGAGGGGGACAGAGCGGCCAGAGGACAGGCAGGCGGGGCAGCCCCACGTGTGCAGAGGGCAGGCAGGTGGCACAGGCCCTGGTGCGCAGCCCACACTCTGCCATCATGGTGGGTGAGGAGCAGGTGCGTCCACCCGTGCTGCCCAGGACAGCCTGTGCTCCCGGAGGGAAGCTCACACACGGGCACCGCATCCCCAGCACTGCCAGAGACACCTTCCCTCACCTGTCACGGCTCCTGATGGACGGGGCTGCAGAGAGACTCATTTTATAAAAGGGAACTTGCTCTCAAGTCACTGAGGGTGATCAGAGTGGGAGATACGGGAGCCAGGCGAAGGTCCTGTCACTTTCGGACCTCCGTCCTGATGCTTCGTCCTCACAGTTCCCTTGGGCATGTGCCCCTCAGCAAGACGCGGGCAAGGCTGCAGGGCTGGGGCATGGGGCCCAGGGTCAGGCCATGAAGGCCCCCTCAGTCTGTCCTCCCACCACCATGCAATGTGGGCATCCCTGGAATCTTCCCGTCCTGCCCACCCAGAGATATCACATGGTGTCAGAGTCCATCCCATCCCACCTAGGCCATGGCAAGCCAGGCAGGAGAGTGTCCTGGGTGGGCTGTCCTATGGTCAGCCGAGGCCCATGGCCGACTGGGAGGTCTGTCCTGCCTCTGCTCCAGCTATGAGTGTGGTCCGGGAGGAGTTTGCAGGGGAATAAGGGCCTCAAACCCTCAAGGTCACTGTGCCCACAGATGTGAGCCCCTGGGGCAGGGCCCGATGGTCTGGGCTGTATCCCACAGCTGAGGCTAGTGCCGGGGCAGCGGGCACGTGGTGAAGCCAGGGCTGCGGAGGAATCGGGCGGTGGAGGCAGAGGGCACTGAGGGTCAATCCCAGAGCATGGAGGCTGCCTGGCGCCTCCGACCCTCCCCAGACCCCTGTGGGTCCCCGATGGGGAAGCCCGGGCAGAGCGAGAGGGTGGTGAGTTGTGTGTGAGTGGGTGTGTTTGTGCGTATCTGAGTGTGTGTGTGTGTCGGGGCGTGTGGCCCTTTGCACCAGTCCCCGCAGAGCTTGAGGGAAACTCCTCGGGGTGGAGGCCCTCCGGGATGGGGGGTAAGGGCCTGATGCCGGCCGCGAAGCCCCGTCTCCATCGGGACGTCCGCCTGGCGGAGCTGCCTTCCTCACTGACGTCGCTGTTCCTCGGATCCGGGAGCCAAATGCTTTGCTAGAGCTGGTAAAATGGAACCAAATCGACTGTCCAATGGATTTGGTCCCCTTCAACCAGCTGTAGCTGTGCATTGATGGCGCCGTGCGGCCCGGCTGCAGGTCCCGCAGTCACGGAGAGGACCCAGCAGGCGGTGCAGGGACAGCCCGGCTCAGCGTGTGGTCAGCTCCAAGTAAGCGAAGCCCCGAGTGCTGCCCCTGCCCCCCGGGACACGTCAGTGCAGAGCCCGAGAGCCCCAGCTGTGGTGCCCCTGCTTGCTCATCCTCGCCAGGGCACCATGAAACCAGTGTTCATTGCTCACACCAGAGCTTTGCTTGAAAATGTGGGCTGAGGAGCTGGGCCCTGTGGGTTGGGCCTGCCGGCGGCCTGGGCTGGCCCTGCCCTGTCCTCTTCCCAAGGAACTTTCTTTGATTTCTCCTTTAAAATGGCCTGGACACTAAGGCTCCCGAGGGCCCTGCAGAGGTGAGCACGGATGCTGCGCTGGTGACCTTGGGGTTTGTGTCCTCAGTGGGGAGGCCTGGGCCAGTGGCGTCTCTCCAGATGGCCTGAGGGGTGCTGGGCCTGGCAGGCCACAAACGGGAGCCCCTCGGCATGGCCCATGGCTGGGGAGGTGCCTGTGAAGGTTGCTGGGGGCCCCCAGGGCTCCCCATCTCCCTACCCTCTGGGGGGAGGTAGTGACGACTACGTGCAGGGAAGGCGGGTTACCGATGGGCACAGCTGTAGCGAGCGGAGATCTGCAAGGGGGGCTGCAGGCTGGGCAGTCCCCAGGACCTGCTCGGGGGGGGGTCCCTGACCACGTGCCCTTCTCTGGGTAGGGGCTGGCATGAAGGGGCTCAGGCTGCTGGGCGCTGGCAGATCTGAGGCCTGGGCAGGCACGGGGGCTCCTGCTGGGCATCTCTAGGCCTGGGGTTCCAGGGCCTGTCAGGAGTGACTCCTGACTTCTACCCAGAGTAGCAGAGGCGGGGCCTCCCCTCAGGGGCCACCAGCTGCCAGTCCCAGGGCCGGTGAGACCGAGGGTCAGGACCCTGGGAGGGATGAGCAGAGGGAAGGGGTGTGGTGAGCAGAGGGAAGGGGTGTGGTGGGCAGAGGGGCAGATACCCCATGGACTGATGGACAGGCGGAAGACCGGGTCTGAGGACAGTGGCTCCCCTGGCCCTGGCTCAGGAAGTCACGGCTCCCTCCTCACACCCTGCCCAGCCTCAGTGCCTCTAATTCCCAGGGTCAGCTTAACCCTAACCCTGGCACAGTATTACCACCCTTCTTCACACAGAGTCACTATGTCCCCAGACAGTGGGAGAGGCCGAGAGGCTGGGCTAGTGGACGGCAGCCCTGTCTTCAGCACAGGGTTGGGGCTGGAGTTTGAAAACCAGAGTGTATGGGATCCACGGGCTCTGCTCCTGAAGGGCTGTGGCCTTGGCCTTTATTTGAGCCTCTCTGAGTGGAGGGCAGAGTGGTCAGCCCCTGCTGGGGCTCCTATCCAGGAGCTGCCTCCTGGGAGCCTCCAGGGGCTTCCACTGCTGAGCCCTTTACAGGGGGCAGCCGGGTGGCCTGGGTATGGCTGTGCCTTTCAGGGTGGCCTGACCCCAACCCCACCAACCCCAAGCTGTGTGATGCCGGGCACTGTCCTCCACTGGGGTCTCCTGCCAGGGACATCTGTCCATCCGGTGAGGCCTGGTCCTGTCCTGGAGGGGAGACTTTGGACATCCACCCAGCCGAGGACCTAGTCAGCCTGCCCCCAACCTTCCCTCCTACCTGAAGGGTGGGGAGGAGGCTGGGGAGGTGGCCGGGGTGTAATAGCTTGAGGTCCTGTGTCAAATACATCACCCGGGTGAGGACTCAGGGAACCACCCCGGCCTGCGGGAGGGTTTTGTGCAAACATCACGCCAAGAACAGTGTCTGCTGTTGACCCAGCACCTGCCAGGGAAGGCTGGAGCCATTGGAGTCACTTCCAGTGCAGCCTGGGGTTCCTGTCGGTCACCATGCCGGCCGTGAACAGGGACGCCTGCTCCCTGTTGCCCGCCTGGCCCTTCCTCGCCACCCATGGCCCCGCCAGCCTGACCCTCTGTCACTGATGCCTGCTGAGGGCAGTGGCACAGCTGCAGAAAGCCCACAGCTGCGCGGGAGCTGCCCTGCCAGGCAGGGCCTCGGGGTACTGGGGAGGGCGGCAGGAACGGAGGGGCACGCAGGCTCCATCCCAGCCAGCTGAGAGCCCGGGCTCCCTGCTCCGGGCCTCCCGTCTCTCCGGTAAATTAAAGGATGAGATGAGGCTGAGACCATCCCCGGTTCTCCACTGCGGTCGGGACGTCAGCTCCAGATGACTGTAGGACACTGTGGCTGTTACCTGGCCTACCCCCCGGGGCATCTTTGTGGAGTCCCCAGTAAAAACCACCGCACCTGCCTTGCCATCCCCAGGATGGGGCCTTGTCCGGTGAAATCACAGTGCGGCCCCGCACCAGGCCACACACAGTGTGGACAGACAGGGCATGTGGGTGGACACGAGGGCACACTTGGAAGCAGCTCCCATGCCTCGTGGACCGTGCACGAGGGGCCGTATGGGCTCTGACCCTCAGCAGCCCCAGGCAACGCATGACCGCGGCTGGGTGTCCCAGTGAAACTTCATTGGCAGACGCTGGAATTTGAATACCGAATCATGTTCGGGGGGCACTAAATGGGTCTTTTGATTTTTTCCTCCCAGTCATTAAAAAGGTGAATGCTGGCTGGGCGCCGTGGCTCACGCCTGTAATCCCAGTACTTCCGGAGGCCGAGGCGGGCGGATCACGAGGTCAGGAGATCGAGACCATCCTGGCTAACATGGTGAAACCCCGTCTCTACTAAAAATACAAAAAAAAATTAGCTGGGCGTGGTGGCGGGCGTCTGTAGTCCCAGTTGCTGGGGAGGCTGAGGCAGGAGAATGGCGTGAACCCGGGAGGTGGAGCTTGCAGTGAGCCCAGATCGCGCCACTGCACTCCAGCCTGGGCCACAAAGCGAGACTCCGTCTCAAAAAAAAAAAAAAAAAAAAAAAAAAAAGGTGAATGCTGTCCTGAGTCTCAGGGGCTGTCTGAAAGCAGGTGGCAGGGGGATTTGGCCCTGGTTGCAGCTGCCACCTCCAGCTAGATTAAGAGGATAAATGAGCAGCAGGCACTGTGCGCACAGGACCGGGACACAGGGGCACTGAGGGCGGCCACTGCTCTTCCCAGCTGCTTGCTGCATGTTTAGTCAGTGCACAGGTGGAGGCCCCAACGCAGCCCTAGTGTTCACAGCGGTGGGACCAGTGTGAACAGCCCCGGCCTGCCCAGCAGGAGAGAAAAACCAGGAGAAGGTAGCTGAGGCAGGGCAGAGCCTGGAGCCTCCAGGTTTGGGGTGGGGCTATCTCATGTCTCATCCTGCACCCCCTGCAGCCTTGTGGCTTTGGGCTGAACTTGCCCCCAGCAGGTGCCCATCTCTGGAGCAGGTGTCCACTGGGAACAGGGCCCAGCCAAGCCAAGGCTACTCCCCAGGGTCAAGGAAGTGGGGTCAGGGACAGGGACACAGCCCACTGGAGGACTGCAGTTTCGGATCCCAGGATCCTAGCAACCCCGGGTTGGGGTGCACAGGAGCCATCTCTGCCAGGCTGGGCATGCTACGGAGTGCCTGGGCATCAGAGAGGGCGAGGAGCTCACCACAGTCACACAGCCAGCCCTGGGCGAGCCTGGAGCAGGATGGGAGCACATCCCTGTCTGCCCCAGGGCTGTGTCTTCCACTCAGGAATGAGCAGCCCTTGGCTGGACTTGGCCAGGCTGAGTTTGGGACCCTGAGTTTGGAGGGCTGCTGCCTGCAGCCCCTGCACCTGGTCTCCATGCTTTGCTGTGTGTTAGCTGCGTGGGGGTCCGTGCAGCATCTTGCCTTAGGGGGCTCAAGGGGAGAGGGGGCAGCGGAAGGGGGGCCAATGCTGGGGAAGGGGCTTTATGTCTCCTGGGGCTCTGCCATCTGTCTTTTCATCTCCCTGGGAGGGGTGAGAATGTGGATCTGAGTGAGCAGTGGACATTGCCAGCTCGGTGAACAAGAGGATGGGTCTGAGGGTCCAGTGCTGTGGGAAAGCCTCTCCCTGCCAGGTGCAAAGGAGACAGGAGTTGGCCCATCCCAACCTCAGCCGAGGATCTGCAGGTCCTGGGTCCTGTATCACTGTAAGAAAAGTCCAAGAGCTCATTAGAAATGCAGATTCCAGGCCCCGTATCCCACCCCTACCCCAGTCAGAGCCTCCAGAGCAAGGGCCTGGGAACCTGAATTTTTACCGAGTGCATTTGGTGAGTCTTATGAACAAGCCACACCAACCTGGTCCCCTTGATGCCTGCCGGCTCCGCACCTGCCCTGTGTACACCTTGCTCAGGTCCCCTCCCTCTGCTCCCTACCCCTCAGCGGACCAGCTCCTTCCGGGAAGCCCCTGGGCCTCTCAGCAGTAGGTCTCTCTCCTCTATACTCTAGCAGCCGCCATCACACTCGGGACCCTGTTGGCTGCAGTGGGTCCTTGTGGAATCTCCCCTCTCCCTGCAGCCTTGGGTGGAGGGTGAGAGGTGTGTGCAGTTTCCCAGATGTCATGGGATGAAGTGATGTAGTCTCTGTGTGTGCATCTCCTTATTCTGGGAGAAAGTGGTGTTGACCACAAACAAGCAGAAAGAAAGTTAAATTCTACCACCCCCGGCAGCCCCTGGTGAGATGCCAGGCACTTCCTTCCAGTCTTTTTATTCCGTATGTAGCTCAGTTTATCCCCTTCCCACCTCCCACCACGCACACTAAGGCAGCGGCCACTGGGCTGATAAACAGCCGTTTCTGCAGAGCAGTGCCTGGGGCCCCCTCCTGTATCATCAGTGGCTCTGTCCACCTTTCTGCCCGAGGTCCTGGGGTCAATGCAGTGCCAACGCGCCATCCATGACCAGCGTGAGCAACCTCACTGCTGTCCACAAACGCTCCTGTGCTGAGCCCTGGGCACGACGTTCTCCAAATTCTGCTGGCTCTGACATGCGTGCGGTCCCGTGGCATCACCAAAAACGTCCTGACTTCCTTCCTCCTGAGCATGGGATGGAGGCGAAGCCCTGAGCAGCCTCCTGT